TCCGTCCCTCCTCGCCTCCTCATGTGGGGCTGCCGGCTGCTTGGGGGCAGGTGGTTCGCTTGTCTGCTGCATGATAGGCACCTGCCAGGATTGATCCAACAAAGAAGAAAAGAGATGGTAAAGGAGAATGCAACCCAAAGATGTAGATTCCATCCTCTAAGGGCCTGGAAAGCTATAGAAATCTGGTAGTATATCTGATATCTGGTATAATACGTAGTTGTTTTCTAGTCATTTGTCCCGCATTGTCGATGTCTCCAATGTGATCACGACCATTTAGGATCTACCTGGAGGTGTGGGGGTGAGGCTTGGTCTTGTAGAACAATTCTTGATAGTTTTCTTTTGGTCGCACAACCTTGATTTTAGCCTCACGCTTGACCTCTCCAAATCCCTAGATCACACCGCTCGCGCTCCGCATGACACGCGATCGCGTGTCACATCGCCGACCTTCGGGTCTTGCTGATCTTCCTCGTCGGCTTCCTCGGATTCCTCCATTAGCTCATCCTCTTCTACAGGCTCTTCTTCGCCTGAGGAAAAAACACATGATGTGTTATCTGCGGTCTGAGTCTGCACTGAGATGTTGTCATGAACGTGCGGGATTCCAAGCCTGGAAACCTCCAAGTTGAGGGGTTAAGTAGAGCTACAGGTGATTCGACATCTCCAGTTTGATGACACAAGTTAAGTAGAGTTTGCCAGGACGCTTCAACAGGGAGCTACTTAAGACAATAAAGTAAGTGTTCAACGATTTGATTGTCCAACCTGAAGAACAAAAACAAGAACATGCTGGGGTCTTGACATTGCAACCAAATCACATTCAATATCAAACATCCTGGTTCTTCAAAGTGACCTTCTAATCTCCTGGTTTGAGGTCGCTTAGGCCTTGAAAAGGTCCCTGGATGACACAAAAAACTTCGGTCACGAACTGGAGAAGCTGGAATATGCTGTGTTCATCTTTCCAAGTCTTTTATCTGGCTATGTCTGGCCATCCCTGGCTACCTTCGGGGTGTTGCTTTCTGCTGCCGCATCACCCTCTTCCTGATCCACCTCCTTTTCGCTCTTCGGACCCAGCTGACAGTCGCCCCAGGTCACCTCGTCTCGGTCGTTAGCTGGGCCACCGTGAAAGCCATGTGCTGCGTGGTCTCTGTTTTTTTTGTATACCCGGACCATCCTGTCTGGGTGTCCTGTCTGGAGATCCTGGATGTAGTGTAGGGTAGTCCATGTCGGGCACCCATTGGGTGGCGGTGGTATGTACATAATTAAGTACGCATATACGTTTTGCGTTTTCGATGTTGTATCAACCGGAATCATCATCACTGCGGACTCAAATGACTCCTCCACATGACCACTTCTTACATTCTCCAATGGCAGCAGAGCTACCCGATGACATGATGTGAACATCTCTAGTCGAGCAACAACCAAGAGCTGCACTCTCTGGGAGTAGCATGCAAATCAGTGGGGCCCCGTCAGACGGTTCAAAACACTTGGAAACTTGGATCTCCCACCAAGTGCCTGGCATGGCCATGCGCACCCGTCCCCCACGTCCTTTCAAGACCGACAATACCGACAAAACAACGCCCTATCTCCTCTCGGCCACCCCCCCCCTCTCATGACTCTCCGGTCCCGGCCGCAATCTGATCCTCCGCTGCCAGCGCCACGAAGCCACCGTCCACCGCCGCCAGCGCGTGGACGTTCCGCAGCGGCTGCACCGAGCTGGAATCGCCTGGGGAGGCCGCGGGGGAAGCCGTTCGGCGCGCTGAGGATGCTTCACATGAGTCAAATCAAGACTTGAAAGGAGGCCCAGGTGAACAGAACACCTTTCAAATTTTCTACAAACCCTTGGCCTGATCTAACGGATGCATACCGTCCACACCACGCCCAGTCAAGTCCCAAGACCTCGATTGAACTCGAACATGAACAAATACAAACGAGTCATATAAGTATACCATAGTATACCGGGATATCCAGGGATGTGAGCCTCCTACTAGTATGGCGGTGTTGGGGTTTTGATTCTTTCTGACTGCCACATGAATATATAATAGTTGGGTATATTCTGTGGACTTGAACTTGAAATTTGCACAGAACTTGGATGCACTGTATCTGCTGGTGACTGCTGTCGATCGTCTCAAGGCTGCAACATAACAATAAACTAAACATCGGCCGTGATCACATGTTCCATCACGTACCCATCAACAGCCAAGTATATAACTATATAACAGTCATGAATGTAAACTTGATTAATAAGCCCCCCATATGAAGAGGACTTCCAATTCAAATGGGAGGGCTTATTGATCAAGAGTCTACAATAATGCATCACCGCAGTGACTTGAATGAATATATCCGTGAATAGGTGGTATCCATCTGTCTGTCTTCCCTGCCCCATCGTGGCGCCGCCCGGCGCGAGCCGGGACCTCCATACTCCTCATCGCCCCAGGTGATCACTGTTCCATCCCCCAAGAGCGCCGCAAAAGCCTCCAAGTCCAGCAGACGGTGGTGCGTTGCGGTGAGCGGTACCGGGGTGGAGGACATGGACAGAACTGAGAGGAGTGCACCATGATCTCGATGATCTGATCCACTTTCCGAAGATGGAGGGAGGATGAGGGAGGTATGGTAGACAGGCAAATAGAGGGGGGCCTTTGAAGAAGTTCTCTGAGTCGCGACGAATGTCCCACCCTCTGGGGGATTTGAGTCAAAGTTGTGACGGCCGGCGTTCACATGGCAACATGTGTGACATGAACTTACAAGTTTGCAACTTAAAAAATTAAACAATTCCATATCAAATTCAAAAAATATTTAGAAAATACTTTGTAAATCCTGGTGCAAACTAATATTTTTAAAAATAACACATATTTTAAATATATACAAATTAATTATCTAAAAAAAGATAGATTTATCGAACTAATAAGTCTATCAATAATAACAGATCACTGTAAAGACTAAGTCACATAAGTAGATTCAGCAAAAACTTTTATAACACCAAAAATCAATCGCCATAAAAATATATAATTCTGTAATAAATCAACAAGTAATACACCATAAAAAACAATATATATCCCTAGACGTCCATTAGACATAGAAAAAAGTGACACGATTTGGGCCGAGCTCACAATCAACACAACACACACATATCAACAATGTGTATGCATTGCATGCGTGTACCTTCTTCAGTGTCGCGCCTGAGGGCGCCAATGTCACCGCAAGAGGCTTCCCAAAAATTAGTTTCCAATTCCGTCATACACTCAATTATACCTACTTTATTTTTAAAAAAAAAAAACATTATACCACTATATAATATACTATAATATTACATATATATATATAGTAATTAGTCTATAAATTTATATAATATAAACAGGTCTATTGTTTTTTTACTATATCAAATGACTATATGAAATCCTATTTTTTATATCAAATCACATTTTATTTTGATAGTTTATACATATCGTTGTATAATTGCGGGAACTTTATGCCGGTAGAGTCGATAAATTGTCTAGGGCGGCCAATCTGACCGCCCCATACCACCCCCAGTCATTTCCCTTGCCTGGACTTGTGCCAGGGGATGCTGCAACGCATACTGCCTGGCGCGCCGCCTTGCGACGTCCCGCCTTGGGACGTCCAGCACTTCAAAGCGGTTCGTGCTCAAATTCCAGGGCCGTTCTCTTGAGGGATGTGGGATCTGCATTGGACTTCTTCTGCAGAAGGGCAAGTCCGCCATGCATCCTTGGAGTATCACCAACGAAACACATTACACGGACACATATGGACCTGCAAGGAAGAAGTATAATTATATGAACGAATCAGTATAACAATCCCAAGAAAGGAACAAAATGGAACAAGCAAGTGCAACTATTACCTGAGCTTGCCAAGTATCTCGATGAGGTCAGCAAATTCTTCAATCACATGGTAAGCCTCCCAGCGATAGTTATGGATCAGCATATGTGTCTTGGAAGCCTCTTCTTGGTCCATGGCCAGCAACAGCTTGCAGAAGCAAGCCACTCGAAATCGTCCGTCTAGCAAGACCAAGCGGTGGTTTGCTCGAGCGTGACACTTTGCAAATCCTTCGTTGGAGTACTTCGGCCAGAGTGTGAAGGTCGTGTTGTCGACTGGATAGCCCAAACGGCCCGTCTTCCCGATATCCACGTACTTCAGCTCTGCAATACCTTTTTCAAATAACTTTGCGATAGTGTCCTCCTTAGAGACCTGCTCGATCCAATCCTTTGAGCTGTCAATCCCCTTGTAGCACTGGAGGTTGGGGTAGGTTGACGCCACGGCTGACGAGCCACCAACTCCAAATTCGAGATATGCATCAGCCTTTGAAAGCTCTTGCCGAAAGAACTGAATTTCTTCGCTCGTCATCAACGGAGACATCCTTTCCGCTTCCAAATCAGCCGTGGATGCGGAAGAAAAATGGCCCTGCTCCACCCTAAGGTAGGTTTTGAAGGCAGCTTGATTCTCCTTCATCTCCTTGGTCTTCTTGTTCTCCTCGTGCACGCCCATAGTGAACAATGCGGTATCCATGGAGTGCTGCTTGGTCTCCTTGGTCTCCTTGTTCTTGTGCAATTTGGCACCCATGGGTTGGAGCAACATCAATGCATTCGCCTCCTCTGGGCAGCTTTGCGTGGCACCCAGAAAGAAGAGCGTGGAGATGCGGATCGTGATCCGCATTGCAATAGCAATCGCCATGGTCGGAAAATAATGAACAAAAGTTTGGTAGCTATATTGCTGCATAAGTCATTGACCTGGAACAACCAGGGAGCAACCCTGTGATGGAGGATGTGATATCATCTTATTTCTAGGGTGAAACTTCTCATAGCTTCACCGTCTAGTCACCCTGGTCACCTGGCCCCTGAGACAAGCCATTCAAAGCCACGCCTCGTCATTGGCTTGAATCTCTTTGACATTCTGCAGCTGCTTTCCTAAGGAACCACATCAACGGGGCTCAACCAGTGACCGGTTGAACTTACTTCATCCTACTTCCATGGAAGCAAATCACATCAAATACAAAAATACCTGCACAGTTGTGTACTCTATATGGTGCTCAAAACATGCACAATACAGTTGGTTCTTTGATTCGCACATTCTGTTATGTCAGGGATCATTCATCACTTCACTTGTGACAACACAATGATATATAAACAGAAGCTAGCTATTGGATCCATGAACAAATAAAACGTTGTAGAGGCTTTTGTGCCTCGCACACACACACCAAATGTTTCTTTTAGATCAGAACCTCTGTTATCAAGTTCCACTAAATTGACTGCATGTCTCCCCCAACAAAAATGTTTGGCTTGTGAGGAACTGGCCAGGCCATGTCCCCAGTCCCCATCCTCCAAACAAACCCGTCACCATTGGGCCCATCGACCCACCAATGGCGATGTCCCAGCAGCTCACGTCTTCGCGGAGCTCTCCGCCGGTGCGTTTGTGGCCCCACACCACCACGGAGCCGTCCTTGCCTTGGAGGCCAAACGATATGAAGCAAAGTTCTCAAATCGGGGTGATTGGACTGGTGAGCACTGGGAGTGGACGAACAACCAGAAAGCCTTGCCAGACTGTCTTCAGCATCAAGGGCGCAAACATGCACAAAAACACACATCAATTGTATACGGTTGTTTAGCTGGATTGCAATCCCTTCAGTTTAAGACTGGTTCTACCACTTCGAGAGCTCCTGGTTCGTCTCCCAATTACCCTCGCCCCTTTTATACGGCCCTTGGGCAACAGGCATCTCATCCACACACAGCCCGGCACAGCTACGCCCAGCTCCATGTCCGCCCAGCTACGCAAGGCCGCAAAGGCCCTGGAGGTGGCCTGGATGGCCTTCACGTCTTTCAACTCCACCTCGCTGCAGTCTCCACCATATGCCTGCGGGTGCCGGTTCATGTCGCGACTCCGACCTCTCCGAGGTGACGGAGGCGCAGCGCCAAGCGCCCTGGTGTCCCATGAGAGGCCGGTTGACTCGATGTCGAACGGTGCAAGTGGGTCAAAGGGATCAGCTCCAATTGTGAAATCGGGCTATCTCTCATTGATCAAAAAGAGCCGCAGCAAATCTGTGATGGTCTTTATTCACTCCACATGTTTTATCACATTGTGCAAATCATCCGTCCAAAGGTGAGGTCGGACCGCCTAGAGAAGAGATGATTAGATGATTCCTCTAGAATCGGCTTTGCTGAGTTGATTGACCAAGCGGGAACAGAAACTGCACTTGAGAAGTGGCCACCAAGCGGGATTGGCTGATTCTTGCTACACCAATCCAGTGAGGCCTGGAAGTCGGGTTAGTTAGTCTCAAATCATTTTATATAAATCATGAAACAAACCTGAGACTTTGTTGCTCTCTGCTTTCAAGCAGCTGTTCTTTTTGCGGACGCAAACCATGCAGCCATGACTTGTTGTTTGAGGTCTGGGATCTTGCAAGCTGGCTACCTTTAAAGAGCCGGAAATGACTAGCTACCCTGCCAGTCCGTGTTTCCGGGTAAGTGGTCTCTTCTATCCACTGATACATTCTTCTATCCACTGATGCATCTGATGCATCTGCGAAACCGCCCAGGCACGAAGGCCAGAACACCACGCCCCGCAAGGTGAACACGGCCTTCAAACCCCAGCAAACCACAGAGCCATCATCACCTCAGAGAGCACATGGAGCATTTGGGTTGCACCACATGCACAAATATGAAGAGCATGAATTCCAAAATGATCCCCGTTTGCAACAAAAAATGCCCTGCCAGGGTATGCTGTTTTTTGAACTGTTTCTTGTACACTGTTCAGGTTTGTTGTCTTTATTATCATATGCAATAAATTGTATTAATATAGGCTTGATGAGACCTTCAATAGACTCTAGCACAACAAATTGACTATATATATATATATTTAACATCGCCGAACCCAGGCTAACTCTGTGAATCTTGAAAATAACAAAAATGCAAAAACAAAGCAAAAAAAGCAACTACAAAAAGCAAAAGGAAAATAAACAACTCCAAAAAGCAAAAACACACAAATGAAAAAGCAAAAGCAAAAAACAAATCCAAAAAGCCATCAAACAAATGAAAACGCAAAAGCAAAAACAGCAAATCCAAAAAGCAACAAAAAACAAATGAACAAGCAAAAACAAAAAACAAAGTAAATCCAAAAAGCACAAACAAACATATGAAAAAGTTGTTACACATGTTGCTGTTTGTTGTTTGTTGTTTGTTGTGTGTTGCTGTTTTAGTGCTTTTGTTACACATGTTTATTTCGCCTGTTTTTTTTGTGTTCCGCTTTCTAAATTGCATTGTTTTTGCTTTGTGGATTCGCTTATTTTATTGCTTTTGCTTTTTGTAGTTGTGTTTTTTTGTGTTTTTATGTGTTTATTTTTTTCGTGTTTTTTTAAATATATATATATATTAATATATCGACCACACGATCGACCACCAACCCATTGGCCTTGGCCCTGCTTTGACACACAACATACTGAAGACATGTAGAAACACAACCAAACACAACCACGTGATCATCTTCAAGGACCCAAAATAGATCCTAAATCAGCCTGTTTACCACAATCCTCCAACAGCTTCTGATCAAAAACACGTTCTAAAATCCCGCCCACCAATGAGCCTTCACACCTGCAACCACCAAATCAACCAGAAAAGAAACACACATACATACAAACAAACACATACAAAAACCCAAGTACACCTCCACCAAAAACAGGTCAGGCCGTTCCACCGCCGCGGCTCACTGTGGTCACCGTGTGGCGCAAGGCGGCGAAGGCCTCGTGCGTCGCTTGCAGCGCCACGACGGAGCCGGTGACGGAGCAAGCGAGCTCGGCCATGTCCAGCGGCCCGTCTGCACCGTCGGGGACGGCGGGGCGGGGGCATCGGACGAAGGACGTGGTGGGACATAGATGGAGGTGGAAGATGAGAGGGGATGATGAGAAGTGGGGTGCAAAAGGATGCGGTTTTCAGAAATGTCACCCAAAAGGTAAAAACAACTTCAGGTTCAATATGGTTCAAGCAAGTTCTATTGTCTTGTCCAAGTCTTTGGATATATATATATATAAGCAAACACTAGTATCTAACACATTTCAAGGGGTTTGCGTGTTTGTCGATATGTCTGGAACACAAAAAGCCTGAAGTTGCCACCGATTGACCTCTGAAAACGTCCAAAAGCTTCAAGCGCTGTGCCATGATAAACTCCAAATAGCTTGAGAACAATTTCAACTGAACCCATGCCCGGTTCAATGGTGGGATCTCTGTGGGTCGCAAACAGTGAGCAATCCTGTGGGTCGCCGAATCCAACGTCGATACCTTCGTGAGCCACAAATGCTCGTCACATGCCCAGTGAGCCTTCCTCCGCGTCGGAGTCGGAATAGAGTACTGGCGAACCTGGGGACCGAGGCAGATCGATCGCGGGACCTTCCCCCACAGCCACCGTGAGAAACAGTCGCAAGCTGTTGGATCCTAAGTGGGTTGGCATTTGGTGTTGCTGTTTTTTTTCCCCTAGTCCAGTGGATGGGTTGGAAAGTCTAGTTTGTACTTCTGAACTTTAAAAGTTAGTTCATATGCACGAATTGGTGATGATTGTGCAGGGCTGCAGGGCCAGGGAAACACAATTCCATCCCAGTCTATCATATATAACATTGTCTTCACCCACACTACACACACACACACCACACAAATCGAAAACAGAAATCTGTCCAACACGGCCGAGCTTCAAGAACCTTTGCCTTTATCTTTGTCCTTCTTGCAAACCTTCTTCCTCGTCTCTACTTCCGGCTCGCGGTTCCGAGAACCTTGCATCGGAATGGCGCACGGCTTCCCGCCGCACGTCGGCTTCAGACTCCCTATGTGGGGATTTGTGTCGTCCGTGTAGTCTCCATTCTTGTCGACAGCACAATCTTTGGAACCTCCTTTTGAGTCCTTCTGCTTACTGTTGTCGCATTCCGCTGAGTCTTTCGTACCAGTCGTCTTGTGGACGACGCATTCTTTGGAACCTCCTGTCGACGCCTTTTGCTTGCTGTCGCCGCAGTCTGTTGAGTCATTTGTCCCATTCTTGCCGACAGGGCATTCTTTGACATCTCCTTTGCACTCCTTGATCTGACTTTTGTTGCATGCTGTCGAATCATTTCTCTCATTCTTGCCTCCAGCATATGCTTTGGGAACCTTCTTCAACAAATCCGTTTTGTCTCCATATGGGTTGCAATCCTCTATGTCGCTCACTTCGTCGTCAAGGCCTCCACCTGAAGCAGCTGAGCGCGGGCTCCCAGTTCACCCTGAGATGCTTGGCCATGGATACCTTGCCATTGACCTGCACCCGACCATGGGTCAGCAACTTTCACTCTAGTCATATAACATAGTGAGCAAGCGATATTCAACCTGGTATTGGTCCAGTACACCCAGTGTTCTTGCTTTTCTTGGGCATGTGTGACATGATAGCTATGTAGTCAGAGCAGCATTAGCCCAAGTAACACCCCGCATTCAACATCTTTGGAAAAACAAACAAAGGAAACAAGCCCCCAAAAAAACAAGGTCCTGCAAGCTTCTCACCCCGGAAACACAGACCGCCAGCTTCTGTGTCAACATCGAGTGGTGAATCGGCGAACCGCAATTGAAAGAAACGATTATTGTGACATACATCGGTTGACAACAATAGGATTACAGGACGAGAATAGGTCTACCTTGGCTACAGGAATTCAAGCTCGATGTTTCGTGTCTTATAGGTATAGTTTGTTGGTATTTGAATACAATTCTCTGAACATGGATCTGAAACGCCCAATTGCACCACCTTTGGTGCAAGCTTTCTTGGACTTCGCTCGTCCCTCCTTGCGCATCTCTCTTGACCACTTGTTCTTGCCTGCAGTGTCTGTGAGGCAAACTTCTCTCCAGTTGTGAAAGCCATCTACAAATCTAGGTCTAGTAAGAGATACAGTGCCTGTTGAGGGGAAGAAAGAAAGAAAGTCCTTGGCAAATATGTTTAATCTATGTTTATCTAACATTGCACATTCATGTATAGTTAATTTATGAACATGCAAGGCATACCATGAACATCCATGAACACTAGAACTGCTCAGCAAGTTCATCAACACACATTACAAAACAAAAACACAAAGCGTCCCTTCTCAGGCTCTCTACAAACGAACATGTCAACGTGAGGGATGACAAAACTTATCATAAGAAAAACTTGAAAATGTCAAGGTTCTTATCCGTGAACTTTCCATCTCCCTGAACACTAGAACAACTAACTCCACCCCCACATGAACTCCATGAACCGACCCCTCCACCTCCACCTCCTCCACCTCACGTCGGTCTTACCAGGCGGCGCCAGGTCCGTGCCCGGCCCCGGCACTGCACCCCTCCATCGCTGCGCAGCACGGCGAAGGCGCCGCGCGTGGCGGCCACAGCCACGGCCGCGCCCGGAGGAGGCTCGGCCTCGGGGCCATGGCGCGTGGGGGAACGCCACGAGGGCGTGGACAAGGATACTACGTACATAAGGGGTGAAATGAAAGGACAATATGATGGATTTCTTGCATTTTTACGCCCAAATTGCTCCAGTGTATGCTGAGGTAAGGTACAGTTGGCCAAGTTCCATGTGTATATCTGGTTAGAAACAGTGGGGATTATGTTCCACTTGTAGTGGGATTTTGGAAAGAGTCTTCCAGAATTCCAGGCATGTTTTGTCCCTTATATTCTCATGTTGATGATACCATTGTTGTTCTACATGGGTTCCACTGCATAAATAATAAACTCTCCCGCATCGCTTTGCCTGCCAAGTCACCGCATCTTTAGCCATTTCGTTCAACGTACCTGGGCACACAATGGAAACTCATGGCATGGGAATTGCTGTCAATCTTGCTTGAGCTGTTCGCTTTGGACCTGAGCACCATGAACTCCCGGAACCTCGTTGTACGTTGTTCTGGTCAGCGTAAGCGCTGTTACCCGTGCCCTCAAGCTGAAACAAAGAATCTGCCAGCCGGATCTTGCAGGCATGTTCGCATGCTCAGGAATGCATCTATAATGGCCAACCAATTGAGAGTCGTCCGTCAAGAAGAGGACAATTAGAGTACAGTAGAGTAGCTTGGATGCAAGCCTAAGACTGCCGATGTTGGTCTCTTCATACAGATGCACACAATGAAACGATTTGCTGGCCAAGCACACTTTCAAGCACCCCAAAGACCAGCAGCAACCCGTGCCAAACGAGGGAGTCTCTTGCGGCTCTGATGTGTGCAAGTGTATAACCCACCGTGACAGAACGAACCGGTTGGCCAGTACATCTGAGACCGACAGCCATTGGGTTTCATCCAGGTCTATCAACTAACCGGCAATCTCCTTTGAGTCTGAGATTGATATACTTAGGGCCATGTCGATTGTCTCTGTACTACTCAGCACGGCACGGAAAACACATATCCTACTCCTAGGACCTTAGGAGGTGTCTCAAAATCTTGAACTGAGATCATCAATTCCTGATACAACCAGAAAAGACATCTTATAATATATATTCTTACACACATTGGTCCACCAATCTTGATGCCCTGATCCTGCTACAAGGCCATTCTCAAGCTGAAGTGCAGCCACCGTGGTCAACGTCACCCCAGGTGACAACCTGAATGGGAGCGGACATGAACGTGCCCGAAAGCTCGTGGATGATGTGGTGACCATGGCACAAACAATATCCCCCAAAGGCTGGGAAAGTATGCAAAAGGTGCTGATCTTTGTTTACATATTGTTGCTAAACCCCATTGTTCAGCCACAAGCTGTTGAGGAATCCGTCAGCTGGGTGACTTTGAGACGCCTACTTTTGGGGTATGAGAGACACACATACACACACTCACCTGTAGATAGTGAAACAGTGTCTAAGTGACATGAAAACACCATTTTGTTGTTGACCTTCAAGCAGCCGCCGCTCAGGCCGCTAGTCGTCAGAAAACCCAATATAATATAGAAAACATAGAAAACCAAACAAACAGAAGCAAACCCTAGCAAGTCTCGAGACTAACCTTGATATGACAGTCACGACAGTCAGTCTTAGTTGGTGTCCGGGACTCTCCTCAGGGCTCTGGAACTTCACTCCGTGAAAGGAACCCAATGGTCAACTCCTAGCACTGTTCGTATGAACAGGAGGTTCATCCAGCATCGTCCACCATGTGTTCACCTATATCACGACAAATTGGTTCAACAAAGTGAGAAGAGTAACCACCCGCACGCGCACACACAAATATGCACTTAAGGAGGTCTCTGCCTTGAGTTGGCCGCAAAAATCGCCAACAACACATATCCAAAAAAGAACCATCGTATCGAGTATCGCCATCTTCAGGAAGACTGGAAGACGAGCGAACACTCCGGTGCCTCTCCATTTTTCAAGATGGCCGCAAAGGCCCGGTCATTCGCTTGGATCGCGACCACCGGGGCCTTGGATCGAGACAAGGCGACGTCGGAGACGCCAAGCCGTGGGGGAGACGCCAAGTGTTGGACATGGAGAAACTGAAACCCTGAGAGTCCAGTCATGACTCATGAATGACCCCTATGGTAGAGAGGTTCATTAAGTATGGTCAAGTGAGCTTAAATAGGACCCGTTAGCTGGGGGACCGAACTGGGATAGTCTATAAGGTCCTGACCCACCTCTGTTGGCCTGTATTGACTATATCAGGTGGGGTTGTCCATGAGTCACAACTGAAGTTCTGGGAAACCCATGGACACATTTCTCACGCTATTCCGTTCCCCAATCGGGCCACACTGGTTGTGCTTGGTGTTTCCGCATCTTCCTCCAACTTACACCTCTATACAAGCAGGTAATCTTTCCGTGATTCACTGAAGCGTTAGACATTTCATAGTCATGATAAGTCATGATTACTATTCACAATTATGGTTTGATGACACATTTATGTGTACATCCAACATCACCCCACCTAGTACATCCTTGCGTTCTTTTTCCAACTCCATGTCTTATCTCCGTCCCAGAACCACATCGAACATCCCACCCATCCACCTGGTCCACCTCTGTTCTCCACTCGTTCCCTGGGTGCTTCGGTCTGCTTCGGTGCTTCGGTTGGTTGGGCCTCCGCCTTCTTCAACTGACGCTCGATGTCGCATGGCAGATGTCCACCGCAGGAGTCTTCGCCCCAGACCTTCACGCTGCCGTCCGACAAAAGGGCAGCAAAGGCCCTCCTGGTGACGGCGAGGCGTTTGGGTTCCGTAGCCCGGGTGACTTTGCGGATTTTTTTTGGGGGTAGATGATGACTTTATGATATCATGACGTTTGTTGATTTACTATTTGTAGTTTAGTTATAAGCTTATTAATAACCTCAACAAACATGTGGAACATTAAATCATTAATATAAAAACAAGATGGAACCCACGAACCCGAATGCAAACACGATCGAAAAACTACATATGTCCAAATGACACTCTTGTAGGACACTCTTGTGGGACACTCTTCTGGGACACTCTTGTAGGACACTCTTGTAGGACACTCTTGTGGGTCACTCTTGTAGGAAAATCTTGTGGGACACTCTTGTAGGACACTCTTGTGGGACACTCTTATAGGACACTCTTGTGGGACACTCTTGTGGGACACTCTTGTAGGACACTCTTGTGGGACACTCTTGTAGGAAACTCTTGTGGGACACTCTTGTGAGACACTCTTGTAGAACACTCTTGTGGGTTACTTGCAGGACACTCTTGTGGGACACTCTTACACGACACTCTTGTAGGACACTCTTGTGGGACACTCTTGTAGGACACTCTTGTAGGAAGCTCTTGTGGGACACTCTTGTGGGACACTCTTGACACTCTTGTGGGACACTCTTGTAGGGCACTCTTGTAGGACACTCTTGTGGGTCACTCTTGTAGGAAACTCTTGGGAGACACTCTTGCGGGACACTCTTGTGGGACACTCTTGTAGGACACTCTTGTAGGACACTCTTGTGGGACACTCTTGTGGGACACTCTTGTGGGACACTCTTGTGGGACACTCTTGTAGGACACTCTTGTGGGATACTCCTGTAGGACACTCTTAAGGGACACTCTTGTGAGACACTCTAGTGCGACACTGTTGTAGGACAGTCTTGTAGGACACTCTTATGGGACACTCTTGTGAGACACTCTAGTGGGACACTGTTGTGGGACAGTCTTGTAGGACACTCTTGTGGGTCACTCTTGTAGGAAACTCTTGTGGGACACTCTTGTGGGACACTCTGTGGGACACTCTTGTGGGACACTCTTGTGGGACACTCTTGTAGGACACTCTTGTGGGACACTCTTGTGGGACACTTTTGTGGGACACTCTTGTGGGACACTCTTGTAGGACACTCTTGTGGGATACTCCTGTAGGACACTCTTAAGGGACACTCTTGTGAGACACTCTAGTGCGACACTGTTGTGGGACAGTCCTGTAGGACACTCTTATGGGACACTCTTGTGAGACACTCTAGTGGGACACTGTTGTGGGACAGTCTTGTAGGACACTCTTGTGGGACACTCTTGTAGGACACTCTTGTGGGACACTCTTCTGGGACATTCTTGTAGGACACTTTTGTAGGACACTCTTGTGGGTCACTCTTGTGGGACACTCTTGAAGGACACTCTTGTGGGACACTCTTCTGGGACACTCTTGTAGGACACTCTCGTAGGAAACTCTTGTGGGACACTCTTGTAGGAGACTCTTGTGGGACACTCTTATAGGACACTCTTGTGGAACACTCTTGTGGGACACTCTTGTAGGACACTCTTGTGGGACACTCTTGTAGGACACTCTTGTGGGACACTCTTTTGAGACACTCTTGTAGAACAATCTTGTGGGTCACTTGCAGAAAACTCTTGTGGGACACTCTTACACTACACTCTTGTAGGACACTCTTGTGGGACACTCTTGTAGGACACTCTCGTAGGAAACTCTTGTGGGACACTCTTGTGGGACACTCTTGACACTCTTGTGGGACACTCTTGAGCGACACTGTTGCGGGACACTCTTGGGAGACACTCTTGTGGGACACTCTTGTAGGACACTCTTGTGGGACACTCTTGTTGGAAACTCTTGTGGGACACTCTTGTGGGACACTCTTGTGGGACACTCTTGTGGGACACTCTTGCCGGACACTCTTGTGGGACACTCTTGTAGGACACTCTTGTAGGACACTCTTGCGGGTCACTCTTGTAGGAAACTCTTGTGGGACACTCTTGTGGGACACTCTTGTGGGACACTCTGTGGGACACTCTTGTGGGACACTCTTGTGGGACACTCTTGTAGGACACTCTTGTGGACAGTCTTGTAGGACACTCTTGTGGCACACTCTTGTGGGACACTCTTGTGGGACAGTCTTGTAGGACACTCTTGTGGGATACTCCTGTAGGACACTCTTAAGGGACACTCTTGTGAGACACACTAGTCGGACACTGTTGCGGGACACTCTTGTGGGACACTCTTCCAGCTCGCCAGATACTCCGCGTACTAAAGTTGTACTACAAGGTCGCCAGTTCTCAGCTTCCAGCTCCCAGACACTCCGCGCACTAAAGTTGTACTACAAGGTCGCCAGTTTTCAGCTTCCAGCTCCACAGATTGCTCCGCGTACTAAAGTTGTACTACAAAGTCGCCAGTTCTCAGCTTCCAGCTCCACAGATTGCTCCGCGTACTAGAGTTGTACTACAAAGTCGCCAGTTCTCAGCTTCCAGCTCCACAGATTGCTCCGCGTACTAAAGTTGTACTACCAAGTCACCAGTTCTCATCTTCCAGCTCCCCAGATACTTCGCGTACTAAAGTTGTACATAGGGGTTGGTATTAAGTGGGTACCTTGGGGGGTGCGATTTTATAGTGCTAAAATGCTGGGACCAACCCCCCTCCAATGAGGGTAACTTTTTGGCCCTATAAAATTGAGGAGAACATAGGAAAAGAACCCAAGTACAAAGATTTAGCTCTATAGAATTGAGGGCCATTAGTCTGTCAAAAGCTGTTGAAAGTTGTGAATATTAAGGGTTTTTGTCTATAGAATTGCGGGCCCCAAGGTACTCCCGAACAGGTGTTGTCGAGTTGTAATCTGAACCTGGTTCTCTGTAGAGTCAAGGGCCATGGGTCTCAAAAAACCTGTCTCTGTATAGAATCAAGGGCCATGGGTCTCAACAAAACATAAAATTCCAATTTCAATGGAAGGTATTGATTTGCCAGTTGGTAGGACCACAATTCTATAGAGGAGACAGCAGGTGTTATGGAGAGGATTGGAGAGGTAAGGATCTGTGATGATCTCTGATTTTATAGTGTCCAGATGTGTCCAAATGCTGTCCCCAAATCATCCACTTCTCCCCTTTCCCAAGTCATCCCAAGCCGTCCAGAGGCTGCAAATGCCTGCAAATTGTTTTCCTTGGCTGGTTTCACGGTAGATGGTAAATTGTATTTCATATAAGGCGTTCCCTTGCTAGGATGCTCCTGATTTGTTAGCGTCATCATGTGTCATCCTGATTCATTCAAGAACCCATTCCCCAGGGTTCTTTTGAGCAATCCCAATTGGAATCAAGCCAAGAAAAAGCAATCTCTATAGAATTGCGGGTCATGACATCCAAAATCATAGAAATCATTCTCTATAGAATCGGTATGCCCCAGTCATCCAAAATCCCTTCACTATACTTACAAGCCTCTATAGAATCAAGCTTGCAATTCTCTATAAAATCGAGGCTCTTGAAGGACAGGACTTTACAAGCTCCATATGAGCCAAGGAAACCTGGCTAAAAAAATAGTCTTTTCGGGGACCCAACCCCCGCGATTCTATAGAGGAAATTCCATCCCCTATAGTTGTACTACAAAGTCGCCAGTGCTCGCCTGCATTTCGCACGCTCGACACGCACGATCTCCACAGAGGGTTGCGCGGGCACCGGACAAATCGCACTCTCGCCTGCATTTCGCGCACTCGACACGCACGATCTCGGCAGAGGGTTGCGCGCGCATGGGACAAATCACACTCTCGCCTGCATTTCGCGCACTCGACACGCACGATCTCCGCAGAGGGTTGCGCGCGCATGGGACAAATCGCGCTCTCGCCTGCATTTCGCACACTCGACACGCACGATCTCCGCGGAGGGTTGCGCGTCAAGTCTCCAAAACGAGCGTTTTGTACGAGACTTCCTCAAAAACTCACACGTCAAAGTCTGCAAAACGAGCGTTGCGTACGAGACTTCCTCCAAAAGTCAAGCGGAAACACCCATCGGAGCACACACATCACGCAGCCCTGCCAAGCAGTTTCGCGATTCCAGCCCCTCCAAACAACATCCGCTCACACGCCAATCTCAATGTGACAGCGACATTCACCTCTACCACAACTCACAACCTCACGATTCCCTGCGCCTGCCACGAATCTTTCCGCGTCCACACGTCTAGCGCGCACAAAGTACTGCGCCTGCCACGAAGTGTCACCTCCGTCACACCTCGCAACCTCACGATTCCCTGCGCCTGCCATGAGAATCGCACTTCCACGCCTCAAAGCCCGCACGAAGTCCTGCGCCTGCCACGAAAAGTGACAATATCATCGCATGTGAGCTTCAACAAAATTTGCACCACACCACACGTTTGGAATGATTTCGACCCGTTCTGAGCACACTCCCATCCACCAAAGTCGCCATTTCAGCTGAGACTTGTCACGAAAACCGAGCTTCGATGCCACACCCTGAAATGCAAATCCCAATGGCACGGCCACATCCAACACCCCAAAAACACGACTCTCCAAACGCTAATCCCAATGGAACTGCGCAGCAATCTGCGGATCTCACAAAACGCTGCGCCTGTGCAGCGAAATGTATCACGTTTCTTGCGCGACATGTCCTGGTCATGCAAATCACAATGGAATAGCGGCGCAAACTGACACGTGACACGTCCATGCAAAGTCACTTGCAAAAGCTTCCCCCAATGGCAGCAAATTTGAGACGCGACGACGACGACAAGCGACGACAAACGACGACAAACGACGAGACGACGCAAGCCATGCAAACACAGGTCCAACCCCCACACCCCCAACTATAAACGGGAACCCTTCGCTACGCATTCGGGAATAAGTGGTGAACTAAGTGATGATTCTCAGAAAATCCCCTCCAAGACCAACGCCAAACTTCAGGTCAACTCATGTCAGCTCTTCATCCAAAGGGTGAGTCTCATCCAAACGGCACACAGGGACCAAAAATTTCATGACCAGTCAATCGACCCAGGCTGTGCACCACTTCTTCAAAGATCTTCAACTTCCCAAAACCCTCAGTGAGACTCTCTCCCATTCGCTCCCGTTGGCTTGGATCTCTTTGATGCTCCGATCTCCCAAATCCATGGGCTCGTTCTCCGGTGCGTGGTGGCCCCAGAAGAACACGCCGCGCCCGTCCGCGCGCAGGGCGCAGAAGTGGCGGTCGGTGGATTGGATGCAACGGAAGGCACCTGGAACTGCCAGCTGTGCCTGCTCCTGTGAGATGCGAGATGACACCCTTCATCAGGCCCCTGAGGTTGGGACAGAAGGCTTTTCCGACCTCCTTTTGGTGGGGTCGCTCTTGGGGGGTCGGTCTTGGCCTCGAAGATACATCTCCAATCAATCCATCCGCCAGCTGAACGCCACACCCGCCGGTGGTGACATGAGACCCTTCATCCGTCTGAAAAAGGCGGGTTGCGTTGAAAGAATGTAAACAAACTGGTTAGACGAAAACAAAAGACCAATGCATCTTTCCCGGCTGATAGTCAGAGCTACCAGCCCTTTCGTTCAATCGTAATACTTATCAATCTTACCAAACCTGGAATCTGCGACAACTGTTTAAAATATGTTAAAATAATCACCTTTGAGCAGGATCCCAGGATTGATGCTCAGAATTTACCATTGACCAACCTTGAGTCACAGTGCTCCTCGGGGCTTGGAACGCAGTCTTCATGACCCCAGGAGACGATGCTCCTTGGGTGTCCGGCTCCGTGCCAGAGGAAGCTCCAACCAAACGCCAGCGGACGAGGCGCATTGGGACGGGGGTCAGGGTGCCAATGTGTGTGTGTTTTTTACAGGAGGGTCCAGGGGATACTGCAGGTATATAATCAGGGTTTCTGGCAGGAATCCTCCACTCACGGATCCGGCACAGCACCATTTGGCAAGAAAGCTGCTCGGTTTCTTCTTTCAAGTGCACAGTGCAAGAAGCTGCAAATCCAAAAAACAGTTAACGTAGAAGTCAGCCCACTCCCTTGGTTGAAGCCATAGAATTTCAAAAGCACCCCACCTCCCATACGTCTATCAAGAGTCCCATCCCTCTTGAGCCCTGCGAAGGCTAAGAGTGGCGACGCGGTCTGCTGGACCGCCACGAGGTCCTCGGACGCGCAGGACACGGATCGCTCGCGCGGACACCGAGCGGATATGGTTTCAACACCATACTATCGGGGATGAACACTATATATTTACTATATACCATCTATAGATCTATTTTGGGGTCACCACACATACAAGAATAGTATGGGAAACCAATGCTGGCTCTTAGCTGGAGCTCCATGATTCCTCTAAGTATATAACTTTGTTCATTCGGAGCCTCACTAAACGGGGCACCTGGCAAACTCGAATTCGGAGCAAAACAACAACACCTACCACAAGCATCCTGTCTGGGTGTCCTGGCAGGTCTCCATGAAACACGTGTTTTTCATGGTCCATGATATACGTATATATATATAGTCGTAGCATGTAAACTTTGGCCTCTTCAGCCACCAAAAACATAACCTATGACTGCACAACAATGTCAGGCCTCTTTTCCTCCATCAGCATTTCTTAGAAACAAGAAACTACTAGGAACAAGTGCATCGCTACTAGTAACAAGTGCCTTACTAGTAGTAGCAAGAAGCTACTAGGAACAAGTGCATCGCTACTAGTAACAAGTGCCTTACTAGTAGTAGCAAGAAGCTACTAGGAACAAGTGCATCGCTACTAGTAACAAGTGCCTTACTAGTAGTAACAAGAAGCTATTAGCTTATTGTTTCTAATAGCTTCTTGTTACTACTAGTAAGGCACCTGTTACTACTAGCGTGGCACCTGTTACTACTAGTAAGGCACTTGTTACTACTAGCGTGGCACTTGTTACTACTAGTAAGGCACTTGTTACTACTAGCGTGGCACTTGTTACTACTAGTAAGGCACTTGTTACTACTAGCGTGGCACTTGTTACTACTAGAAAGGCACTTGTTACTAGGAACAGGTCCCCCCCCCTCTTTTACTCTACACGCCCGTCCGATCGCTCGCCGCCTGGAGGACCTCATCGGTACCTGCTGTCGCCTGGTCCCAGAAGACGTGCGACCTGAGCGACCGCCACGGTGGCACAGCCGCAAAGGACCGCAGAAAATGAAGTGAGCGATGTCGTGATGTCGATGTCCTTCTTGGATTCATAAAAAGAAAGGAATGCCTAAATGACCATGACTCAAAGACACCAAATTGTTCAAAGTCGGGTTGAGATTTGGACCAATAATTCATAAAGAACAAAAAGCGGAATGGAACCATATGGAACCGCCGGAACCGCCAAGTCTATTGAACCATAATACCTTCCATCATCTCTTCCGGATAAAACTCGGCTATGTCCGTGCTGGGCACCCCCCAGGTGACCACCGTGCCATCGCTCCTCCGCCAGGCGCAGCCCTCGCCGTGGCGGCTCGAGGCCACGAAGGGGACACTCCCAGCCGCCGTGGTGGCGGACTCGGGGACGGCGGTGACGGTGTCCTCGTTTTGGAGGCCTGGCCAGAGAATGCCCGGGAGACATGGCTCATTCAGAGGCAAAAGCTAACATATGTTTTGTGTTGTTTGTTTCCGTTTTGGCTTTGGAATTCGATTTTGAAGGGGTGTCGTGATGTGTTACTGAGAGATTGTACATGTAAGTACTACTGTCCTACTGTGCATGGATTCTCTGAATATGAAAATATGGGAAGTATCACTTTCTATAGAATTACTTAAATATAGCAAGACAAGTATTGCTATTAAATTGGAGACTAAACTTTCACGGTATGTAACATGAAGAGAACCCTCTTCTGAACTGTGGAACAGGTCAAGCAACGAGTGTTCAGCCAAACACATGGCCAAGTGTCTCAGGTGACCACTGTTGGAACCAGAGATTGCTGTTTTCCGCCCACCATCCAGCACCAGTAGTGGCCTTCCTCCTTCAAGGACTTGTTCGTGTCCGTCAATAGCCTAGTCAGCTAGGCAGGAGGACGAGACAATAGCGTCGCTCGATTCATCTGACCCGATGATGTGGTGCCCTGTGCCCATTCATGCCACCACTACAGGCTACAAAATTGATCAACATTGTAGGCTCCAACAATGGCACTGAATCTCCAAGCCCTTTCGAGTGGTCACGCTTGTTGCTGTTGCTCTCATCTACGCACATCGTGGGTTCCCAAAACTCTCCGTGAACCCGAAAGAATGCGTGGGGGAGTCTTCCAATTTCCAGAGTCTTTCCGATTGGCACATTGCCAGTCAGCTCCAAGTGATCATCTGCCCAACCCCTTATCAGCGGTTCAGGCGCGATCGTCAGGTTGTTTCACCTAGCATTTAGGTCTACCTTGTGGAAGGCTCATACAGTATTGGTCGTGTCAAATTTGCCATGGGCCCCCTAAACTCCTTCAAAAGAATGGTGCATCACTCCATCACCAAGAAACTGAAACTGTCCAACGGGACCTGGGATGGCCACGCATGGCGGAGGGCATAGCCACGCATGGACACAAACTTTTGTTTAAGCTAAGCAGCATGTTAGCCTCCAAGAAGCTAGGCATCTGGAAGGCCAGGTCAAAATGCATCTTCCTAAGAAAAGTTATATGCTTTTAATTCCAAGCCAGCCCAGTCAAATCATACACACCCAGCCCAGGAGCTTGCCGGCCGCCGAGAGCAAGCTTCGTAGTCGGACGCCCAAGCCTAAGATTGGGGACTCGATGATTTAGTCAACATATCCAGAAATCAAAGGACACCAGCTTTTGGATGTGTGGGCATTTCCTGGCAGCTAGGGATGGGCAAACAGCTGTTGTTACTCCACTGGATCTTCCTCCCCCAAACAGCCGTGGGCCGCAGCGATCGATTGGCGATCGATGCTGTGCCACGCCACTTTGCTGCGCCATCCTCTTCAGCTCTCCGACCGTCGAGTCGGAACTCAAGGACGCGCTCCCGCTGCGCGTTCCGGCGAGCTGCACGTGGATGCGCAGTTCACCCATGGGCACGGGCGGGGAGGATGGCGAGAGCGTGGGAAAGATTGCTTGCGTTGTGTGGGGGGGATGTTCGGATGACTTGCAGAGTTTGAACGTTGTTGAATGTTTTCTGTTCAACGGCTTGAAGATCAAGAAATGCATTGCTAAAATGCATCCAAAAACGGCGTTTCAAAACAACCTTTTGATTCGGAATTCTTACTATTGTACAGTAATTCTACAACTTAAATGTCATCCGTTAGGTGCATCGCTGATTCGGATATCCTTCATGTACCCGAAGCCCTGCTAATGTATATATATATATATATTATATGGTATACCGTTATACCGTATACCTACGAGTACTTATTATATATAATACATAACAACCTGCCAGGTCTGCCCCTGGTCCGCCAGGGCTAAGAGATTGACAATGCGCCTGAATCCAGCCTACTCCACTTCATGTCCACTGGCTTGTCATTGCCTTGAGCCATGGATCTCCAAGAGTTCAGAGCACCACGCGTCATGGGCAAACCGTTGGGATAGTGAAAGCTGTCTGATAACCAAGTCAGTGGTCTAGGAAGCCACGGGAAGCGATTCATGTGCAAATGGAGGCTTCGATATGGACATGGACGATACGTCATAGAATAGAACAACTTGAATATCAGGCAGCATATTTATGCCTTCAACCAGTGGATTTTCTAATTGCTATGGCCCATGGCTATATTATAGGCCTGGACAATTTCCAGCCAGTCTATTGGTTTCCTAACCCCTGTCCATTTCTCTTCATCCCCATGCCCCCCCACTACAGCAGAGACCTGACCCAAACCGAAAAGCGAATCCCTCCACACTCTATTGAGGCACCTCTACTGACGCACAGAGGCGCGTTTGTCCTTCGCGGGACTTTCTGCCTTGGTCCCCCCCGTGCTGCCTGTGTTGCTGCTCCGGCGCACCAGTCGCATGGTGCGTGCCATGGCCCGCTGTTCCAACCTCCCGACCACACCTTGGCGCAATGGACCGTGACCGTCAGAAAGATCCCAATCGTCCGACCGAACCCCCTGAAGATCGCTCAGGCCGCTCTCGTGCCTCTCTGGAGGATCGGGAGGAGCGTCGGCAACGATCAAACAATCAAGATCAACTGCGAAGACGAAGCCGGCATACCAAAATCTCTTAACCATGTTTGAAGAGGTGGTTGGAGGGTGCTGATCCATGCTGATCCCCTTACCTTTGAGGCCTTTGGAGGTTTAAACAAAAAAACACCTTTGGGAACTGCTTCACCCCAGGCGCATCGGTCACAAATGGTCGAACAACTGTGCTTCCCGACTTCGAAAGGTCTCGGCCGCCAGTGAGCGTGCCTTGGAAAAGCACCGCAGGTCCGGCTCTGTGCTCGCGTGGTCCCATATGTCTGGTGGTTGTTTGTGAGGCTTTTGTTGAATACTTCAGTTTGTCAGCCTAATTGTGTTTTTTCTTGCGTCAGGATTGAGTGAGTCATCCGAAACTTGGGTGAGGTTCACATTGAACACTTATGCCCAACTGGCCGGTAAAGACACAGAACTGCCACTCTGCTGCCACATCTGCTGCCACTCTGAATCCACCCTCTCCTTCTGCCACAAGCCAAGCACAACCTCACATAATGTGGGATGTAACCCCCCCCACACACAGGAGTCAATGACACCATGTTACACATGCTAAATGGCACGCATCTTCCTCATGCTGCGGAAGATGCGGACCTCCCCATCGAAAACACCGCTGCACCGCACGCCACGCAGGCCACGCAGCGGTACCTTCTCGTTGGGGCTCGTGAGGACCTGCGTCAAGGCGTCGATGGCACAGCGCCTGCGGCGGTCGGGGTCAGAGCTTCTTCTGTGCCTTCGGTGCCTTCTGTGTCATTCTGTTTCTGTATATGATGTCAACTCTGGGGAGTGGTCCACCCTACAAAGGAACATGGGATTGGAGTGGTTGGCAAGTTGGGATGTTGCTGTTTCTTTCCAATTCTCATCTGTCTCCTGTCTCCCCCTGAAAAATGCCACGCCCTATAGCTGTGCATCATCACACATGGCGCCCTCCATGACGGGCGCCCTCAATGGGTCCGACCTCCACCCAGTCCCCCGATGAGTCGACCGCGCCTCTCACGACCGATACTGCACATGACACGTTGGGCGGTCCGGCGCACCTCGAGAAGCGACACGCGAGAAGCGACGCGCGTTCCACCACAAGCCTCCAAGCGTACGGGCGAAGTGAAACATGGTCTATAGTATCCTGTCCCTAGGGGGTTCCTGGCCTACCTCCTGAGATTCGGTGGTTGGGGTGGGTCTTGAGGGTCTAACCAGAGCCCTATGGGGATACTTCAAACATGGAGCAAGTGGTGTAGGAACCGTCTTAAGCAAACAACTGGTTGTCATGGTGGTTTCAAACATGAGGAAGAAGTGTGTCACTTCCAAAAGACTATTTATGACTGTGACTATTTAACAAAGGAACTGTCTGTTGGCGATTTCTTTTGTGTCAGTAACTGTCTGAGACGACCTGTTTGTTGGGGGGTTCTGTTTGGCTTCTACGCTGATACTCACCACAGGAACCATTGACATGTTCAAGAAAAAAAAAACTAAAAACTGAGCTGGTTTCCAAACTTCTGCTCGTTTGGTTAGCAAAGCCGCGTCAAACAATAACATGTCAGTATCCACTTACAGTAGAGTATATAATATATAGATTGAACAGGGTTAATATTTATCGTAGAAACAAAACTTGAATCGGTGGACTAAATCAGCCGTATCTTTCTTTAGTTAGTCTGTTGTTGATACTGTCTGTCTACCCAGATACCTCGACGGCATGGAAAAGCGTTGACATATGAACCAATCAAGACATCTTTACACAGACAACCTTTTCAGACTTTGTGGCACTACTTCCTCATTCAGGATTTGTTGCGCAAGGGACAGGACACCAGCACCCACAGTCTTGACGAAATCAGTACTGTGGACACCACCTCACAAAACGGGGTTCATAGTTCATAGAGGGAGTGTGTGTTAATCTTCTATATATGTCTATGTCTCTGTTGGACTTCAGGGCTGTTGGAACTCGCCACTAGGACCACTTTCGCACGCCAAAAACAGAGGTGAATTCATATGTACCATGGTACCATGGTCGTTGATCGAGTCCGACCGAATATATCACCCCAAATCGGGAAAATCCATGTGGTGGGCGACATGATCCGCAATATGGCACCGCCTCGGTGCCTATCACATCGCTGACGGCGAGTCGATAGTTTGTGAGTGTCAACCCAAGGACTTCAAGCATCAGTTATAGTGTTGTTAACGTGCACAGTTATCATGAAAACTGTTTCAAATGCTGCAACATGATGGTTGATGGTGATACTGGGTCCAAGCGCTACTGGTGTCCTGGGCGCCAGCCGCCTTAAGAATTTCCACCGTCGGAAGAATGTCTGGGTCTTGGTCGATCGAAAGGGAGAGTTCCGTTCCCTCCACACTTCCAAACCCTTCCTGTGGTGCTGACACTGGAATATGACTTGAGGCCAGAGGGGGTGAACGAAAGCTAGCCGGGCTTCCGGTGGTCTGCTGCTGGTGCTGCTGCTGCTCTGCAGGCGCCGGGTCGTCTGCTGCTGCTGCTGCTGGCGCTGGGTGGTCTGCTGCGGCTGCTGCTGCCGCGGCGTTGGGTATGCTGCTGCCGCTGCTGCTGCTGCTGCCGCTGCTGCCGCTGCTGCGCTGGGCGCTGCAGATGCTTGGTGTGCTGCAGCTGCTTGGTGGTCCCGCTCACCGCGCGCAGG